CCCATTCCGGGCGCCCAGAGTGAAGGGACGCCCCCGGAGCGGCGCGTCGCGACCGCGCAGTCCGTGCGCGCAGTCCGTGCGCGCGTGCGTGCGCGCGTGCGCCGCACACCCCCGGCATGACTTGGTGGGACACCGCAGCTGGTCAAGCCTTGAGATCCAGTCGTTTCTGCCCAGTTTCGGGCCCCAGGGCCATCGCAGATTGGTCCAGCTCGGGACATGCAGTAGAAGGCTGGTGTCTAGGGCTCCGGACGCGATGTTCCGCAGTGCTGCAGTGATTTCTCGCAACCTCAGATTCCTCAAGGAGGGCTCCCCACAACCTCGACCCCCAGAGGTCTGGACCCCTTCCCCAGGACCAGTTTTTCGTCCTGAGCGGCTTTGTGACGGTCCCGAGGCCCAGTGAGGGCCCCCAGAGGCCGAACACAAGGAAAAACCTCCCGTCGCGATTTTTGCCCACAGCGAGGAAAAAAAACCCGTCGCGATTTTTGCCCACAGCGCGAGAGGGCGTCCATCTGGGCCCTGGGCGCGCTCCAGGAGCGCCCAGGAGTCTCGAGAGCAGCCGCGGCTTCCCGAAGGGAAGGGGCCCCAGGACACACAAATAGGTACACACACAAATAAAAGGATTCCCCATACTTCCCTACATCTTCTGGGTTTCTGTCTTCCCCCCCACCTCCCACATTTTCCCAGGTATGACGATGAATTGTGTCTGTGTTTTTTTTTCCCTCCTGACGAGGGCCGCGCTCTGGGGAGCGCACCAGGAGGGCCCCGTGGGGAGCCCCGGGGCCTCGGTCGGGGGGAGGGCCCTCGCGGGGGGGCCCCCGAGGGTCGGATGCTAGGGGAACAAAAAGTGGCATAAGCAGAAAGACTCGGAGGTCCGCGCGGATTTCGCGGATCCGCGCCGAAGACCCCTGGCGGCGCCTCCGGCGCCGCCCCTGGCGCGCTTCGCGCGCCAGGGAGGGGGGGTCCAGGGCCGATCCGAGAAATCCGCGCGGACCTCCGAGTTTTTATGTTTATGTCAATTGTTGTTCCCCTAGAGGCAGCCCCAGGGGGAGGGGTCCCATTCTGACTCTGCCCTGGTCCGAAGTCCGGCTTTCGGCTGGCTTATAACTTGTAATCCCGCTTGATCCGGCCTGTAATCCCGCCTGATCTGGCTTGATCCCGCTTACGGCAGGTTCGCGTCGTGTCGACCAGCGGCGACCCCGCCAGCGGCGTTCAACGTTGAAAGCGGGCGGCGACCCAGAATGGGTCGATGTTGAACGATTGGACGTTGCGGGAACGGCCGATCGTTCAAGGTTGAACGATCTACGCGGTGTCAGAAACCAACGCCGGGGTCGTCACGACGCGAAACTGGAACATATACATTACCAGTGGCGGGTTGCTTTTCAATCCCACGACTTTTTAAGGGTCAGGGACGACGTCGGGGTGGTGTGGTTTACCCTGTTCCTTCGGTCTCCAAGGGGAACATGTATACACCAGGATCCCGTACACACCAGAATCCGTGCTCCTGTGCGAGTTTCAGCGCAGGGTCGGGAAAAAGCGTCGGTGTATAGAGTTCGTTTCCCTCCTCCTCCTCCTCCTCCTCCTCCTCCTCCCTCCTCCTCCTCCTCCCTCCTCCTCCCTCCTCTCCTCCTCCCTCCTCCTCCTCCTCCCTCCTCCCTCCTCCTCCTCCTCCTCCTCCTCCTCCTCCTCCTCCTCCTCCTCCTCCTCCTCCTCCTCCCAGCGGTTGCCTCCGAACCGACTGAGGGCCCCCCCTGCGCGGGAGCCCCGCGGCGGGCGGCGCGGGCGCCGCGGCAGCGGACGGCGGCCTCTGGCCTCCAGAGGGCCGTCGCGCCCCTCGGTGGCCCTCGCCGCGGGCAGGTCGCCGAGCTCCCCTGACCTGCCTGGAGGGCCTTGTTGTTTCAAAACCATCAAAAGCATGCAACAAGACAAGTACACGTTTTTCTAAGTAATAACAAAAGAATATAGGTAGTGTAACCGTTCGAAAAAAACTGGATTTCCTGTTGGGCTGGAAGTCAGGAGGGAAAGAAACACCCAGACACAATGAATCGTCGATTCCCCAGGAAGTAGGAGTGGGCGGCGAAGGAAAATATGGGAAGTGGGCGGCGGCCTCTGGCCTCCAGGGGGCCGTCACGCCCCTCGGTAGCCCTCGCCGCGGGCAGGTCGCCGAGCTCCCCTGACCTTCCCGGAGGGCTAAATTGGAGGCCTGGAAATTGGCACCAACACCAACACAGGGGGCTGCCTCCACAGGGGGAAGATGATCCTCGATTTCGGCGCTGGTGGTAGTATTTCGGTCACCTTGGAAGCCATAATATTACCACCAACACCGAGATCGGGATCGCCTTCCCTCGGTGGAGGCAGACCGCCGATCTTGGTGTTGGTGTCCTCCTCTAGGCCTGCGACTAAAGTCAGCAGGGAAAGACACACACACACAGACACAATTAATCGTCGATTCCCCAGGAAATAAGGGAAAAAAGGGGAGTGGGGGGGTGAAGACGAACATCCAGAAAATATAACAAAATGGGGGATCCTGTTACTTGTGTATATTTACTTGTGCCCCAGGGCTCCTTCATAAAGAGCAGCAGCCCAGAGATCCCACGCACTGAAAGCATCCAGACTGAGTTTTTCTCAATTTTTCGGCCTCCTGGGGCCCTCGCCGGGCCCCAGGACCGTCAGAACAGTGCCCAGGATGGAAGGGCCCGTCCTTGAGGAACGGGTCGAGGCTCCGAGGCTTCCGGGGGCCCCGCATTGAAAATCTGCCTATGACGAGGGGCCCCACCGCATGCAGCTGCGAGTAATTATCGCGAGGCAGGTGTGACGAAGGAGGTCACCACCCACCAAACCACCCCAACCCAACCCGAAGGCCTCAAATTGACCTCCATTTCCAGTGGGGGGGGGTCGGGGAACATCGAGAAAACACGCATGGAACCCGTACCCCCCCCCCCACCCGAAATTAGGGTCTTCGGGTTGGGTTGGGGTGGTCTGGTAGGTAGTCAGGAGGGGGGCGAGCAACAGGCATGCGGACGCCGCCACTGGGGCCTTCGGTGGAGCTCCCCATGGGGCCACGAAGCGCCGTACTGGGCGGGGGAACCGCACGCGGATACCGCCCCTGGGGGCCTTCGGCGGAAGCTCCCTGCTGGGCCACGAAGCGCTGTAATGGGTGGGGGAACCGCATGCAGACATCGCCTCTGGGGCCATCGGCGGAAGCTCCCCATGGGGCCACGAAGCGCTGTACTGGTTGGGGGACACCAGTGCGGACACCGCCACTGGGGCCTTCGGTGGAGCTTCCGATGGGGCCACGAAACGCTGTACTGGGTGGGGGAGCCGCATGCGGACCCGCCTTCCATCCGTGAAGCTCTTGCACAGTTTAAGACGAATGCGCGCGGCCCTGAGGCGAGAGCCACAGTTTGAAGACGTCCCGCCCCCCATCCGTGAAACGCCTGCTGAGTTTTAAGACTAATGTACGTGGCAGTGAGTAAGGCAAGAGCCTCATTTTGAAAACGACCGCCCTCCATCCGCGGAACTGCTGCAAATTTCAAGCTTCAGGATCATCAGTGGTGAGGAGGTATGAGGCGTAGCGCTGGGACCGCCCTAGCAATTGGCTTCGGTGTGCGACAGGGAAGCAGGAATGGAGGAGGAAGAGGAGGAGGAGGAGGAGGAGGAGGAGGAGGAGGAGGAGGAGGAGGAGGAGTAGGAAGAGGAGACGAAGGAGAAGAAGGAGGAGGAGGAGGAGGAGGGGAGCAGGACGACGACAACGACGACCACGACCACGACGACGACCACGACCACGACCACGACGACGACGACGACGACGACGACGACGACGACGACGACGACGACGACGACGGAGACGACGACGGAGACGCATCGCACCGCGATCTCGGAGTGCACCCCCCCCGCGCGGCGCAGGAGACCCTCTCGGAGTACAATAACCTCAAGAAGCTCAACGACTTCCTGGAGGCCGCGCCGCCGCGGGCATGCCCGGGGGGCGTGTGCCGCCAGGGGGGGGGGGGGGGGGGGGCAGCCCCGGGCGGGCTCGCGTCGTGAGACATCGAGCAGTGGCGAAGCGTCCTGGCTTGCCGATGGGCCCACCACATAGTTTTGGCGGCGCGCCCGGGGGGGTGGGGGGAGGGGGGAAGGCTTCGTAGAAGCACCCCTGCTCCCTGCTTCTCAGAAGGCGCGGCCTTCTTTGCAGATGTAAGGCCGGTGACTTCTAAGAGGCCGCCTCCTTCTGAGAAGCCTTCCCCCCTCCCCCTACTCCCTTGTGCGCGCCGCCAACAGTGAATGGTCAACGCACGAGATGTTAAGAGAACGTTTCTGGCTGAGACTGTTTTGTTTTAACGCATCGGGTTTGTGCGTTCTCAGAGCATTGTGTTGTTCTTGGGACATGTCGGAGTTCCAGGCAAATTTTGTGGTAGGCCTACTAGAATGCCGGGACGGTCGGTCCCTGCTCGAAAAAAGAAAACCAGCACACGGCGCGAGAGATGGTTTGTGCCGATTTCGGCCTCGGCGGGAGGGGGGATGGGAGCGGATCCTTGTCGCCGCAGCCTGGATCTCGAGGCCTCCCCGATGAGGTCCGAGCAGAGGGGGTCGGATCGGAGGATCGCGCCGCACCGCCGATGCATCAACGACGCGGCTCGATGCGGATCCCGACTTTTTCCACGACGTCGCCGATGCATCGCCAGGTGCAGCGCCGATACCATCGGCGATGCACTCGCGCTGCGGCACGATCCTTCGACCCTATCTACAGTGGGGGCCCATGCCAAGAAACACCCTGCTGGCCTCCAGGGTGCCCCGGGTTCCTTGGGTTTCGATGGTTCTGCGATGGAAAGCGCGACGTTCCCACACCGAAAATCATTGGACGTCCTGGGGTCTCAGGGCTGGGTTTCTTGTGGAAGGTTTCTTGTGGACTGGGCTCTCACTGTACTCGGATCCTATCTATATAGGAGGCCGCTGTGGGAGCGGCCCGTTGTCGCAGCCTCGAGCGCCGTTGCCCCTTCCGCGGCAGGGGAAGAGCAAGCACAAGCACATCTTCGTCTACCACCAGAGGCCCGACATTCCGAACGAGGTGAACGAGCCGGTGGACAATCCTAAGGACTGCACCGCCGTTGGTCAGGCAGTGGAGAAGCGTCCTGGCTCGCTTATAGGCCCACCAAAGAGTGTTCTGAGGACCTTTTGCGGTTTGCACGACGTAGTTTTAGAACATTTCTGGCTGGGACTGTCTTGTTTTAACACATCGGGTTTATGTTCTCAGAGCATTGCTTTTCCCAGAAAGGGCGTGGGCCCAGGGTTCTCTTTTAGCTGGTTGACCCCCGGTTTTGACTTGAAGAGAGCCGGCGAAATTATTCTGCGTAAATAACGAGGTACAGTTTTTGTAAGTGCGTTTCCTGCGTGCCCGCTCGAGGAAAGTGCGCCCCCCATCTCGGATCCTCGATAAAAAAACTGAGTCCGCAGACCCCCGTTTTCCCTTGTAAAAAAAGGGTGCGGAGCGTTTTTCGCAGAATCCTCGACAAATAACGGGGTCTGGAGCCCCGACCGCGACTCGGAAAAGCGCCCCGCGCGCAGGAATTCCGAGGATGTCTCGCGCGTGCCGCGTCCCGCGCGCAAGAATTTCGAGGATGTCTCGACTAATTCGCTTGTTTTGTCAGGATTTCTTAGAATTTTGGCAGGATGTCTCGAGCGAAACGCTTGTGTTTCATAATTTGTTGAGGATGTCTTGAGCGAAACGCTGGTTTTGCAAAATTTGGGGATGCCTCGAGCGGGGGCTTCGTGGGGGGCCAGAATTCAGAGAATGTCTCAGGCGAAATGCTTGTTTTCGTGTCCCGCTCGCAGGAATTCCAAGGATGTCTCGCGCGGGCCGCGTCGCGCGCGCAGGAATTTTGAGGATGTCCCGTAGCGCGTCCCCTTGGCACGTCCTACGGTGCGACCCCATGGCACGTCCCTTGGCACGTCGCCTGGCGCGTCCCTCGGGACGTTTCGCGGCGCGTCCTCCTGGCATGTCCCCCTGTCAATTAGTTCTGGGGCAGCTACTATGTGTTCAGGCAGCTCGAGCTTTAGATCCAGATCAGTTCGGGCAGGACTCGGATGCAAAGGAAGACTCGATCCACGACGCTATAGAGCACAACCGCGGCATGGCACATCGCAATTCAGCACGGTGCAGCACAGCACAGCCCTCGGCACGGTACATCAAGATCGATACAATCAGCATTGCACTTGCCCGTCACCCAATCAGGTGTCTTTGAAAACGTTGCCATGCGTTACATTTCTATATTCCTTTCCTGATTCGTGGGCCGATCATGTTTGTTATACGAACAAGTATGGGTTCTAAGAGCATGTCGTGGTAGGCCTATAAGAATGCCGGGACGGTCGGTCCCTGCTCAATTTGGTTCGAAGAAGGACAATTCATGATCACAAAGTGTCGGAGTTTCAGGGCGGGTCTGCTGGCTGGTCTTGCAACGCCTCTGGAAGGCCTGGAACGCCACGGTCTGCGAGGTCTGCTCAACTGATCCAGAACGCTTCAGAAGCTAACCAGCAGAGCCCCATAAGTCCCGCAAGACGGCGAGGGGGAGCCAGCTCCCCAAGGAAGCCTCCCCGTCGTCGTCGCCGTCGCTGTGTTCGCCGTCCTCGTCTTCGGTGAGGGAGGAAAGTCAGGAGGGAGGAAACACGAGGAGCACGCTGGATAACAAGAAGGGATGATGGGGAGGAGACGGCGGCAGAGGTGGAACAGAAGGAAGATGAGGATGAGATGGGATAGTGATGATGATGATGCTGATCATGATGATGATGATGATGATGATGATGATGATGATGATGATGATGATATTGATGATGATGATGATGATGATGGTAATACTGATGACGAGTATGATCGTGATGCTAATTATGCGGATGGTGAAGATAATGGTTACCACAAGGGTGTTGATGACAATGACGATGATGATGCTGATGACGATGTTGCTGATGATGATTATGATTACCATGGTGGGTATGATCAGGATGATAACGATGATTTATGATAATGATAATGCTGATGATGCTGATGCCGATGTCGCTGTCTATGTCGATGTCGATGTCGATTCTGATGCTCATAATGATGCTGATAATGACGATAATGATGAAGATGAGGAGGAGGAGGAGGATCATGACGAAACGGATGATGATGCTGATGATGATGCTGATGCTGATGATGCTGCTGATGATGGAGGTGGTGGCGAGTGTGATGGTAATGGTCATGTCGATGGTGGTTATGATGATGATGATGATGATGACGCTGCTGCTAATGATGTCGATGGTGATGATGATGATGCCGACGATACTGGTGATGCTGATCATGATGATGATGATGGTGATGATGACGACGATGATGATGACGATTCAGATGCTGGTCATGATGATGTTGATGGTGCCGATATTGATGTTTATAATGATGTTGTTGGTGATGGTGGTGGCCATAATGCGAATGATGGTGTTGAAAATGTTGGTCGTGATGATGTTGATGGTGTTGATGATGATGATGCTGCTGCTGATGATGATGATGGTAATGCTTATGATGATGATACTGATGATGATGATGATGATGCTGATGATGCTGATGATGAGGCTGATGATGATTATGCTGACGCTGATGATGCTGATGATGAGGATGATGCTGTTGATGATCCACGACTCCCTGGACGGCGAGCGCTTCTGACCTCCAGGCCACACTCATTGAGAGTGCTTGCCGTCACCCACCATGACGAACATGCGCAGCGGCCGCGGCGGCTTCAGCGCGTGCTCGCACCGCGGGCTGTAGCACGGGTGGCGGCCCAAGAACCACCCAAGCGCCCGTGAGCGTCCCGCGCGCCCTTGCGGACCACGATGGACGCGACCTTGCTGAAACCATCGGCGCAGCCGGGCGTTTGGGCCGCGCCCTGACCGAGATGCCGCAGGAAACGGCAGGCCGAAGCCCGCTGCTTGCCAGCTGGCCACTCGCTGCGATGTTGGCTGATCGCACAGCCTGCACGCGTCCCAGTTGCCAGAGGAGGAACATGTGCCCATACCGCTACCCCTGCCTCGTATTCGCCTTTTTGGGCCTCCAGGAAGGCTCTCGTCGCAACCGCTGGATTCGCCTCGAAAATCTGGTCAGAACGCGCCCAAGGAGAGGCCCTGGGAGTAGCGGCATCGATATCGGTACCCTCGTACCCTCTGGCCTCCCCCAAGCTGCTCCGTCGCGTTCGCCAGCCTCCGCTGTGCGACGGGCATCGCTGTCCCCGCGAAACCAGAGTCCACCCCTAGGTTGCGGTGGCTGCGGGCCACGGTGAAGTGGCCCTCGTGAATGGCGGCGAGCTTGATGATGACGAAGATGATGAACATGATGATGATGATGAGGAGGAGGAGGAGGAGGATGAGGAGGATGAGGAGGATGAGGAGGATGAGGATGAGGATGAGGATGAGGATGAGGATGAGGATGAGGATGATGAGGATGATGAGGATGAGGATGCTGATGCTGATGATGATGACGACAATGATGATACTGACGTTGATGCTCATGCTGCTGCTGCTGGTCATGATGATGGTGCTGGTAATGGCGATGGTGATTGTGATGATAATGATGATGCTGATGATGATGCTGATGATGGCGGTGATGATTATAAGTATTATTATTACTACAATGATGATGATGGTGCCTACGCTGACGCTGATGCTGATGCTGATGCTGCTGATGATGTTGAGGAGGTGGATGAGGATGAGGACGATGCTGACGACGACGATGATGATGATGATGATGATGCTGATGATGATGATGATGATGCTGATGAGGATGAGGATGAGGAGGAGGATACTTGGGATGATGAGGATGAGGATGAGGATTAAGATGAGGATGATGCTGATGGTGGTGAAACTGATGAAGAATGATGATGACGATGATGATGATGAGGCTGCTGATGATGATGCTGCTGATGATAATGCTGATGATGATGGGGATCATGAAGATGAAGAGAAGGAGGAGGCGGCGGCGGTGGTGGCGGCAGAGGCGGCGGCGGGGGCGGCAGCGGAGGCAGCGTCGGCGAAGGAGGAGGAGGAGGAGGAGGACGGGGAGGAGGGGGAGCAGGCTCGCTCGGCGTCGGCGCGTTCGTGGCGTGCTCGGCACACGTCCGTGCGCGCATGCGCGGTGCCCGCGCGCGGCGGCGCGCGCTCGGGCGCCGCGGGGCTACGCGGAGACCCGCGAGCGGGAGATCCGTTGTTGAAGGAAACGGCCTACATCCTTCGAGCCGTCCCAGAATGTATGTGGCAATGTGGGGCTTGATAGTTCCAGGAAGTGCCTGGCGACAGGCCCCTTTTAAAAAGGAACGGCTATCCATCCGTGTAATTGTTGCACAGGTCAACTTCGGGTCATCAGGTCAACCGAAGTCTCAGGGGAGCGCCTACTTTGATAAGGAACCGTTTCATCCGTGCAAGTTGTTGCACAAGTTTACATGGTGGTAGCACTTGGGGAGATGACCTCAGGCGAGAGCACTATTTTGAAAACCCGTCTGTCTCCATCCGTCTAATTGTCGGAAGCTTTTCAGACGAATGTGCCCGGCGCTAAGGCGAGGGCCACAGCTCGAAAGCGACAGGCATTCCATCAGCGTCACTGCCAGAAGCTTGTTTGACGAAAGTGCGCGGCGCTAAGGCGACCGCAGCATGCTGAAAACCACGGGCCCTCTTTTTGGTTCGTACAACAAAATGGAAGGAACGCAAGATGCAAGAAAAGAAAGCTCCAGCGAAACGCGCGGCCTGGCCTACGGAACTGCCTGGTGGTGCGACATGGAGGCATGAGGGACAGGAAGAGGAGGAAGAGAAGGAGAGTGTGCGTGTGTGTGTATGTGTGTGCGTGCGTGCGTGCGTGTGTGTGAATGAGAATGTGAATGTGAGTGTGAATGCGAGTGTGAGTGCGAATGTGAATGTGAAAGAAGGGATGGAGGATGAGACGGGAGCAGGAGGGTGAGAGATGAAGTGGAGGAGGAGGAGGAGGAGGAGCAGGTGGACGGGGATTGGGGAAGGAGTACGCAGGATGAGGAGAAGAGGAGGATGCTGACCTCCCTAGCTGAGACTCGACCTGAATACGTGTGGGCGGCGGGGGGGCGGCGTTGTGTGCAGGATGCTTGTCGGAATGGGAGTTGCTCGTTCGTTCTTGTGTTTTTGTGTGTCGTAGTCTCGGGCCTTTGTATCTGATGTCTGCTCCGCCTGGTCATCATGCACCTGTTCCCTCATGTTTCCTGCTCACCTTCTCTTTTCCCTTCCTCCCTCTCCTCCCTGCTCATTCTCCTGCCCCCCGTCATGCCTTCTCCTCCTCCCTCATTCCTCTCCTTCCTTCCTCTCCCTCCTTCTCTCCGTAGCCATTTTGGCTCAAGCCTGGCTCGAATCCCCCCTGGCGCGCGGTTCGGGCATGATGGTTGCGGGAGGCCCTCGGGCGGCGCCCTCTGGGGCGATGTCTGGAGCAGGGCCACGTTGCGGGCAGGCCTGGGCCCGACGCTCGGCGGCCACGCTTGCGCGCAGGCTGCGCAGGGAACGAGCCCTGGAGCGGGACGGGGCCACGGCGACGGCTGCTGCCGCTGCTGCGGTGGCGGTGCTGGCTCCCCCCACGGACCTGGCGGCCGCCCTTGAGGATCGCCTCGTCAGCCTCGGCAGGGCGCTGCTGCTGCACCACAGGGCTGACGTCGCCCTTGGCCGCCACATGCATCGATTGGGCGATGCATTGCGCGCGGTGGCCAAGACGCTCGACGTGGACACAGACTTCGTGCACAGAGGCATGGAGATCAAGAGCGACGGCGACAAAGCGAGGCACCAGCCGTTTCTTGCAGCGACGCCTTCGGCTGCAGTGGATTGCGTGGTCGAGATTTGCGTAGCTGATGTTGTGGCGAGCACAGTCAAGGTGGATACGGCTGTGCTGCCACACGGGAGTGTGCTGCGGGCGGAGGCGCCTGTATTCATCCCCCTCGGCCTCCTCGGCGCAATCGCGCCCGACTACTGCGAGGACCAGGTGCCAATCCAGCTGGATACGGTCGCGCCCTTCGTCCAAGAGGGCCAGGCGACCGAGTGCGAGACGGGATTCCATGAGGAGTCCTGCGACGACGCGGAGCTCGACGTGACCATCGAAGAGGACGGCGATGCCACGGCCTGCACGGCCGAGCCACCGCCGCCGGCAGCCGCGCGCAGCGCTGCGGTCGCCGTCTATCTGACAGCCCACCCCGCGGCAATCCTTAGCGGGGGCTGCTGCGCTGGTGAGGTTTCTGGCGCTGATCTTCAAGGTCAGCCTCATGCTGAAGGGTTTCGCGGAGCTGTTCATCTCGCCACTGGTATTCCGGGTGCTGCTCACCAGGAGCATGGAGGCACCGCGCAAAATTCCCCGCCGTTCCGAAACACTGTCCTCGGTATACGGCGGGGTCCTTGCAGTGCCGAGACGCAGTCCTCGGTAGACGGCAGGATGGGCCCTACGAGTCCCTCGCCGTGCCGAGACGCAGTCCTCGGTAGACGGCGGGGTCCCTGCAGTGCCGAGACGCAGTCCTCGGTAGACGGCAGGATGGGCCCTGGGCACGTCGGCGACGACCACACGGGGTCTCAGGAGTTCGCCGACGGGGGCGCCCACCTCAAGCGCGCTGCGGCCAGGCTGGCTGACACTGTGGCCGAGGCCGCGCGCCTGGCGCGCGCCGCGGCGGTGTCCTCCCGCCCTGCCCTGGGGTCAGAGGGCCCTGCGGCCACATGGCCACTGCTGGAGCGGCAAGATCGCCAGGCTGACGCGGTGCTGGCGGCCAAGATCGGCGACCACACGGAGTTCAAGCAGGATTTCAAAGCTATGGTCACCGACGCCAATGAGACGTGCTGGCAAGACATGGTCGAGGTCATCCGTGGCCGTGCCGTTTTGACGACCTTGCCAGACGGCTCGCGCAGGACATATCAGCAGCCCCGCGGGATGCGCCACGCGGCGCTGTGCTGGTGCCTGCAGTGCCTTGAGGATCAGAACGTCGAGGCCGAGCGGCGCCCGCCTAGCTGGCTGCTCCCGCGCACCTTGCCTCCACCGCTGCTGGACACCACGATCCTCAAGCATGGCGGGCATCGTCGCGACCGACGCGCTACTGCTGCTCTGCGGGATCGTGCCCGCCAGTTCCAGTCCTTCGAGCAGGAGGACAGCGACGAGAGCGAGAGCGGGGAGAGCGCTGACGACCCTCTGTACGAGCACTTCGGCCCGCGTGCGGTGGGCAACCCATCGAGATGGAGGTGAACGTGCTGCAGTGGGTCTCAAGTACGCGTGCTGCTTCGAGGGCCACTTGAGGCTGGCACGCGGCCGGAGGCCATCCCGAAGGTGGCCCAGCTCTGAGACCCTGCGTGGCCCTGGGGGCCCTTGGGGGCCCTGGAGGCCTGCGGGGGCCCCGTGCTGTCGCGAAGGCGGGACACTGCGTCCCTCGGCATCTCGTATCTCGCATCCTCTCCCTCTTTCTCCTTCCCGCCATCCTCATCTTCAGGCCTCTTCTCTCCTACTCCCTCCTTCCTCTTTCCTCCTTCCTCTCTCCTCCTGCATCTCTCTCCTCCTCCTCCGCCTCCTCTTCCTCCTCCTCCTCTTTCCTCCTCCTGCATCTCTCTTCTCCTTCCCCCCTCGTCCTTCTCCACCTCGCGGCGACCCCGATGCGCCCTCCGGCGCGGCGGTTCACTTGCAAGCGGCTCCACGCCAGGGCAGAAGGATGTCCGAGACCCCGCTCGGCCATGGGACGGCCCCCCCCTGGTCTTGGCTCTCACCACCCACCCTCTTCGTCCTCCTTCCTTCCAACCTTCCCCCTCCTCGCCAGTCACCCCCCCCTCGTCCCCCTCTACCTCATCCCCCTCGCCTGCCCCTCGCCCCCATCCCTCCTCTCCTTCCTCTCCTTCCTCCTCCTCCTCCTCCTCCTCCTCCTTCTCTGCTCCTCCTCGTCCTCCTCCTCCTCCTCCTCCTCCTCCTCCTCCTCCTCCTCCTCCTTCTCTTCCTTTTCCTCTCTTCCTCCTCCTCCTCCTCGTCCTCCTCCTCCTCCTCCTCCTCCTCCTCTTTCTCCCTTATCCTCCTCCCCCTCCCCCTCCTACCCACCCCGCCGCTCTGCTGAAAGCTCTCGGGGTGAGAGCTCTCGGCAGAACGGCGCGCAGACGTCTGCAGTGCCGCTCCCCGCTCCGCCCGCGCCCTGGAGCACAGGCCCCCTTCGCTCCCGCGGGCCACGGCGGATCGCGGGCGCGGCCCCCGCCCAGGGCGAGCCCAGGACGATGATCACCACGGGCGAGCACGAGGACATGCGCATCAAGAGCCACGCCGTGTACTTCCTCCGGACGCCCGAGCGCCCTCAATCCGTTTTTTGTCCCCGCCTCCGCGGCCGCCCCCTCCCCCCCCTCTCCAGCACCTCCTCTCGAGAAGATCCTCCGGGCGTGTGTTAGCCCAATGTGTGTATATGTGTGTGTGTGTGTGTGTGTGTGTGTCTGTGTGTCTGTGTGTCTGTGTGTCTGTGTGTCTGTGTGTCTGTGTGTCTGTGTGTCTGTGTGTCTGTGTGTCTGTGTGTGTGTGTGTGTCTGTGTGTGTCTGTGTGTGTCTGTGTGTGTGTGTGTGCGCGTTCCCCGACCATCTCCACCGGTAGCACGAAGCCTGTGCCGGCGGGCAAGCACGCGTCGGCGGCAGCAAACGCTCTGAGGAATTCTCGGCCCTTCCTGTGCGCAATTGGCGTTCATTTCGACCGCGGCGGCGCTCGCCCCCGCCGCTTCAGACCAACAAAGGTAGTTTCATCGCGGAACGGCGTCGAGCCGTCGCTCCTCGTCGCCCTTCCCCGTCCTCGCACCCTGCCGCTGTCGGCGGTCGGCCCGCTGAGGATCGAGGAGTCGCGTGAGGCGGCGGGCGGGTCCCCCCGCGTCGCCAGTCGCGCCGCATCGCTGATGAGGCTGATGCACCAGCGATGCAGCGCGATCTGGAGCCACATGTTATCATTAGCAGTATGTGTGTTACGATATGCTTCTGACTATGAGTTGCATTCTTGTTTTTTGTTCGAATTCGTATTAGCGTTAGCATTCGCATTCGTATGAGTACTAGGTAACAGTGTTGCGATTATTTGGTGTGCTATTATCATCAGCGTTGTTATACATACACACACAACACACAATTAGCTACATGTGTTGGATTTCCTTGGGAGAGGCGTCAGCAGCCCCGCTCAGGAACGTCCCCGACCAGAAGCCCGTGAAGATGGACATCGCGAGCGACGGAGGGGCCTTGGGGCCGGGCAGACCAAGCGGAGGAAGAGTCGGGGCTCGTTTCGATTCCTCCGATTCGATTCGATTTCGATGGCTTCCGATTCCGATTCGATTCGACCTGGGATTCCGATTTGGATTCCGATTTCTTATTGGAGGCATACTAGCCTGCCGATTTCCGCCGATTCGACTTTTCCCGATTCGGCTGCCGATTTCCGCCGATCCGATTCATGTCGATTGCCGATCCGATTTATCGATTCGATTCTGGGCTCTCCTGCCTTGGGGCCGGGCAGACCAAGCGGAGGAAGAGTCGGGGCTCGCGTTGACGGGGGTTCAATGCAAATGGGGGCATCGCCGGATCTTGCAGGATCCTGCAGAGCCAGAGGCGCACTCGCCCAGGCTTGGGGTGCAGGATCCTGCGGGGCTCTGCAAGGCCTGACTGACCCGGGTCTGGATTGACCCTGGTCAGCAGGTCCCCCAAAAAAGTCAAGTTTCGCGTTGATGGGGTTCAGCGCTGACTCCTCCTCCTTCTCCTTCTCCTCTCTTATCCTCCTCCTCATTCCCTCCTCCTCCTCCTCCTCCTCCTCCTCCTCCTCCTCCTCCTCCTCCTCCTCCTCCTCCTCCTCCTCCTCCTCCTCCTCCTCCTCCTCCCTGTCAGCCAATACCCTCCGAGATCCTCTGGCTGACCTGGGTCTGGGAGCAACCCGGAGCCGACCTGGGCCCACCTTGTCCTCCGCTGACCCAGGTTTGGGTGCCATTTCGTGGCTGGCCTGGCTTCGCCACGGCCGTGGCCGG